CATCTAACATTAGCTATAATATCCCTAGTACCACGACCTCTTCTAAATCCAGCCTGCACATCTGGCAGCTCTCTATTGACATACTGTTCCAAACGTTTTTGTATAATTTTCAGCAGAATCATGCTTGCATGTGATATCAATGATATTGTTTGATAATTTCCACACTCTGTTGGGTCACCTTTCTTTGGAATGGGAAAAAATATCAATCTTTTCCAGTCAGTGGGCCAGCTGGCTGTCCTCCAGATTTCTTGGCACAACTTAGTGAGCACATCCAGAGCAGCGTCTGTTTGTTGAAATATGTCAATTGGTATGCCGTCAACTCCTGCAGCCTTGTTCTTTTTCCAATTCCTTCAGAGCAATTGGAATTTCCTCCTTCATCACCATAGGCTCTTGCTCACATGTTATTTCATGAAATTCCTCTGTGTCAGCCAATTCCTTCTGATACAGTGACTCTGTGTACTCCTTCCATCTTCTCTTGATACCGCCTGGATCATTCAACATTCTACCCATAGTATCCTTAAGTATTGCCACCCATGGCTTGAATTTGTTTTTCAGTTCCTTCAGCTTAAGAAATGCTGAGCGAGTCCTTCCCTTTTGATTTTCTGACTCTAGCTCTCTGCACATTTCATTATAGTATTTTCTTTTGTCGTCCCGGGCTGCCTTTTGAAATTTTCTATTCAGCTCTTTGATTCTTGATTTCTCCCCTTAGCTTTGGCTTCTCAGTGTTCTAATGCAATACTCAGAGTCTCATCTGACATCCATCTTGATCTTTTCTTCTTTTTCAGCCTTTGTAATGATCTTTTGCATTCTTCATGGATGATTTTCTTGATATCCTCCCAGAGCTCATTTGGTCTACGCTCATTGGTGCTCAAGGCCTCAAATCTGTTCCTGAAATGGTTTTGAAATTCGAGTGGGACAGACTTAAGATCAAATTTTGGTTCCCGTGGACTTGATTTAATTTTCCTCAACTTCAGCTTGAACTTGCATATGAGTAGTCCGTCCCACAATCAGCACCCGGCCTGGTTTTAACTGCTGATATTGAGCTTCTCCACCGAGTCTTTCCATGCTTAAAAACAAAAGTTAAGACAAGAAACCTAGTTAAGCACCGAGGAAAGAGCCTGCACAGACTGTTCCCAAAAGGAGCCACAAACGGATCCTTTTGTAGCCTCTGTTGTTGTTGTTATGTGCTGTCGAGTCACCTGTGACTCAAAGTGACCCTATGTACAAGAGCCCTAAACCCTGCTCTATCCTGTGCCAGTCTGTCTCCAACACACCTACACCCATTACGCCAGTTAGTGAATCAATCCATCTCATAGAGAGTCTTCCTCTCCTGTACTGTCCCTTCACCCTCCCAAGCATG